AGGGGCTGGGAGCTGCGGCGGCGTCTGTGGCAACACAGAGAGGTTAGACTGGATTAGATGAGGGGAACGTGAACACAGTGGATGAGATCCTCACTTAGGAGTGGAGGAGAAAAGGGAGAGGAGGGAGGAGCACTGGTCCGGGGTGACGGGGCCCTGCAGCGGTGAATGGGTGAGTGGAGGGAGGGCGGGGAGGTTGATCGAAGAGGAGGAGACATGGCCTGGAGGAGCTTCCTGGTGAGTTTATGGCTAAGGTCAGGAGGTGAGGAGCTGAAGGCCAGAGGATAATCCAGAGAGAAACAATCTGTGAGTGGAGACCAAAGAGCTGAGTTTAGCTGGAGACCGAGAGACAAGTCGAGACAAGAAGGCGTTCTGAATACCAAACTGAGCGATCATCCAGCGAGTGTGAGCGTTCTCTTGCCTCCTCATACCCACGCTGATGATGGTGAATCCAGCTGCAGCTGTGAGCTCCGCCCACCTGAAACACAGACTGCTGTGAGAAGGGTGACTCGCCTTGGACCGTGACATTTGTCTCCTGCTCTTAATAATGTTAACATAGATATCTTGCTCCACCGCCTCTCAATTTCACCCCATTTTTATTCTATGAGTAAAAAGTGTTTTAACGGGAAAACCACAACAGGTGTTGTAAATAGCATCAGATCTAGCACGTGAGTTTTAAATAAGGGGTCCCCCAGGGACGTGTTCTACCCTCCCTTCTTTTTTCTGTCGACACAAACTCCGTTTCCTGTAGCGGTGGAGAAACAACACTGTATAAATGAGCCGATGACAAAGTCCTGGTGGCCCACAAGACTTAATCTGTGCCTTTTCTGCACATCAGCAGGAAGTCCACAGACTGGTTCAGCTGTTAGCTGAAAACTCACTGGAGCTTCATGTCTCAACAACTAAAGAGGACAGGCCCCATGCTCCAGCCTTTCAGTCCGCAGGTCAGCTGGTGGAGCAGATTCAGTCATCGGTACAGGTTTGTCCTTCACGCAGCACGAGGATGCTGCATATGAGAAGGCACAGCAGCTCCTTCATTTACCGAGGAGTCCATCAACTAATACACTGATTCATTAATTTACCAAATTTTAACTACTAACTAACAACAAATAAAATGTAATGAAGTATTCATTTGTTTATTATCTTTAACTGAGGTTCTGAGATTTCTGCCCAAGATTTCAAACTCACTTAGCTTTGTTTGTTCATTGTTTCTAGATTTGTGTTTCACTTCTCCAGCTGTCAAAGCCTGGCTCTACGTGTCTGTCTGCTCCCCACAATCCAGTTCTGTTCAGTTCATTTCTATAGAGCCAATTCTCAACAAGAGTCGTCTCGAGGCTCCTTACGAAGTCAACGTTCCAGGTGAACCTACTGATTAAACAGCGTATTGAGTTCAGTTCATTATTCCAGCCATTTAAATGTGTTCTCTCTGAGGAAACCCAGCAGATTGCACAACTAAACAGATGAACTAGTGGCAGCACTTTCCATGTTGAACAGATTCAGACAATAATAGCAGGAGAGGGAGAATGTTCAGTGGTTGATCTGATGGCCGCCTCCAGGAAGGTGCAACGGCTGAAACGTCTACAGGATTTTTCTGTGAGAGATGCTACTGCAAGCAGCCCCATCAGAGTTTCTTCAAGAACTTTTTAATGTACATCAGTTATTCACTCGCTCACACCAGTGGCGTGTCCAGATCTTTTAAAATGGGGTGGCCCAGGTGAGGCACAACTTTGTGCATGGGTGGCACCAATGGTTATGCTTTATTTTTATTTTACCCTCAAGCCTTTTGTGGACAATGAAAAGTCTATTTAAAGGTAAATTAGCGTGGTGACACCTGGGGTGGCCAATCAGATTCCAAGGGTGGCATGTGCTACCCCAGGCCACTCCCTGGACACACCCCTGACTCACACCCAGAGACACATAGGGTCACTAATTCACCTAACATGTGTGTGTGTGTGTGTGTGGGGGTGGGGGTGGGGGTGGGGGTGGGGGTGGGGGGGGGCGCTGAGCGCCTGGAGTAAACCCACGCCTGCATGAAGGAGAATGCATGGGGGAACCAGAACAAGGAGTGATCTTGCCTGGGGCACCAAACTGGGTAAAGCTGGCCCTGTCATCGATCATGATGCTATTAAATATATTCGTAATATCAGGTTTCTTATCCGCATGCTTCCCAAAGCCGTGATGATAAAAGAGAGAAATAACATTTTAAACATGTTTTTTTCTGAACACGAATGTTCGGGATAATAGGTTCTACTTCCTGGTTCCTAATAACAGGACACATTGCTGCGTTTTAACCAACATCATGAAAGTTTAAGCCCATCTAAATGTTTATGAGCATCTAAACACCGCTGTGGGACACAGCCTGAGGATGCAGCACCTTCACTGATGGTGCTCACGTGCAGAACTTGGTTATTTACATAAGCTCTGTATGCTTGTGATTTCTCACAGTACCTTTGTTCTGAAAATTAATACAGTATTATTTTTAGGCTAAAACTTTTTTTAACAGTTTGCCGTTAGATGATACGTATGGGGTGCCATTTCTAAAGTCAAAGAGTCATATTTTAACAGCAGTGTTTTGAGTTATTTAGCAAATCACAAGCAAAATATTTTAATTAGAGTCAAAATTTTATATTATAAACTAAGAAAATATTTAACTTGGGGCTAAATATTGAACTTATAAACTAATTATTTAGCTCCAAACTAAATATTTGTTTTCCCAAACAAACAATTAGCTCTAAATTACATATTTATTTTCTAAAATAAGTTTTTAGATCCCAGCAAAATATTTATTTTGGAGCTAAACATTTTGTTAACAAAATCAATATTTAGGTTTTTGCCACAAAATAAATATTTAGCTGGGATCAAAATATTTATATTGGAAAATAAATATTCAATTTGCAGCTAATTATTAGATTTTTAAACTAAATATTTTGTTCTGAAATAAATATTTATTTTACAAAATAATTATTTAGCTTTGACCTAAATATTTAGTTTGTAAAATAAATTTTTACCCCTAAATAAAATATTTTGCTTGCTAGCTAAATATTAGTTGGCAACATAATATTTATTATATTGTATGGTGAAAATATGACTTTTAAGTATGATTTTTTTCTCTCATGATGGGCTAAACAACCCAAAATATGGTGCCACATAAATTCTTTTGGACACAACTGGATTAGAAGAGAAGGGAGGAGGGAAGTAGAAGCTCTGTGACTAACATGGATGGAAATGTGTAATGACATAAAAACATAATGTTTTTATTGAATAATCTTGTATCATTACTACATTACGTTTTTTGTGTTTTTATGTTTTAGGTCCCTATTTTAATAATTTTATTTTAATGCCCTTAGTCTTGTTGTTCTGTCTTGATTTTTAGTTATTACTTTCCTGCCCAGCACTTTGGTCGGCTCTCATGCATTTTAGATGTGCTTTAGAAATAAAATTGACTTTGACTTTAAAGAGTTAAACAATATTGTCCCAAATGAATGATAATGATAATAATAATGCATTGAACTTATATAGCGCTTTTCTAGACACCCAAAGACACTTTCACACACTCTCACATTCACACACTGCTAGTGATGGTAAGCTACATGTAGCCACAGCCGCCCTGGGGAGGTCTGACAGAGGCGAGGCTGCCATTTGGCGCCGTCGGCCCCTCTGACCACCACTAACACAGGCAAATTGGCTGAAGTGTCTTGCCCAAGGACACAACAGCAGGATACCCCTGGCGGGAGCTGGAATCAATCCCATGACCCTCCGATCATGAGGCAACCCGCTCTACCACCTGAGCTACTGCTTTTCGTTGGTCCTGGACGTTCAAAGTGGTCCTAATCTAAAGTTTGAAGGTATTTTAAGGTTTTTCTTTTGCCTTTGGTTCATTTTTCATTTGTGCGTTTGTATCTGATCAAAAGTAGATTTTGTTTAAAACAAGAAAAGCAGAGAAGTGCAGGACAAACAGAGAAGAGTCAGGCCTACAGAGAAGTCCTGCCTATAAGAGACAAAAACCTGATTCATTCACAGTCAATGGCAACAACAAAAATAAAAATTTTTCTCTGAAAAGTTTGAAATCCAAACTAGAGACAAAAGCTGCCAAAGTCCAAATGTCAACAGGGCCCTCCTCTTCTGTCGCATATTGAAAAGGTAGACGGATTAGTGTTGGGTTGATACTTTAGCACAAAACATTATTTAAAATGAGTCATAAGAACATAGGTTGGGCTGGGCTGCAGTGTTTACCCATTATTACCACAGGCTACTGGTTTAGCTCCTCTTCACCATAAAGACCAGTTCAGCATCCACATCACTGCAGATGCCAGTCAGACTCATGCTCTCTACGCGACCCTGAGAAAACCACCTTCATGGTGCTTTTGGCTGGAAACACTGGGACTCATTCACGTCTACCTTTGCAACACGGGTGTGTTCTACTAGTTCCCGGGTTTGCCTTCCAGTAGGCTGGATTCCCCACCTTACACAGCTCTCCTCAGACTGGGGGTGTGACTTCTGAGAATCCCCGTTAGAAAAATGTGACACACCTAAATGGCTGAGGGTGGTTCAGTCTTCATGTTAACCCTTTAACCCCGGGACACAACATTTCAGTCCCTTAGTTTTATTCAAACAAGATCTGAGCTTCTGTAAAACAAACTTCAGTAAAAGATAATACCACCTTAATTGTATTATTTAGAATTCATTACTACCTTAAATAAAACAGAGCCTTCATTGGTCCAGATGAGTTGCACTGTATTTTAACTTTTGCATGGAAGTTAATGTTAACACATCAAAACAAGCCAAACTCACCTTTTCGTCAAAGTCCTTCACCTCAGACAGAACAAAAGCTGCTTTATTCAGACCAGATGAACCATCTGCACAGGAACACGTCCACACTCCTGTAGGACATACGTCCACTTCACATGGGGGGCAACCAGTGTCCCAAGTGCCTAGTTCAAGAATAAATGAAGAAGTTGCTTTCACTGTTCAGTAGAATTTGGGTATGATCAAACAAATCCTGCTTTGATCAGATGGAAATGAGTCACCCAGCAGGGCGTGGCTCAGCACATAAAACCGCCGGGGGTTGGAAACAGCCTGTTTGTGTGTGGAGCTCTCCAGTCAGCAGGTACGTACCTCTCTCTTCCTTCCTCACGCGCTCACGTAGGACTTCCCGCCTCAAGAGCTGCTAAAGCGGTAAAAACATCGTCTGAGACAAAAAGGTTTAGATAAAAATCTGATTCAAGCAGCAGACACAAACGGAGCTGTTTAAGGAAACAACAACATTTGTTATCGTCACACATGATCTTACTGAAAGAAGAAAATAAGGTTACGTGAAGACGAAGACGTTCACATGTGGTGGGAGATTCTTTGCAACGCCACATGCAGATCTGACCGGTTAAAGAAAGGTTTAGGTCGACTTTTGAAGCTGTGACGGAGCTCGCTTCAGGAACAAGTAGGTTCTGGACTGAAGAAGCACTGTTACTGGCAGCAGAATCCAGAAAGGACCGTTTCATGGCTTTGAAGCCACACTGGTGCAGGTAGACTCGATTAAAAACCCCTGTAAGGAGTCTATCGTGTCATTTATTAAAGGCAACGCTTATTTTAATGTCTCTAAACTCCCTGCAGGGGGGATGTAAACAGCTTCTTTAATTGTACGTTTCAGGTCTAAAGTGATTAATGGATGTACCTGTTAGTCATGAGCATCACACCCACCTGTGTGCATCTGCCTCACTACGTCATCAAAACTCCACGGACAAAACAACAGTTGTGACCGTTTTAGAGAAGGCTATAAACAGCTCCTGTTTACAGCTGTAGCTGCTTTTCCTGCCGGCGAGTCACTCGGGGCGGATTTAATGAACCACAGTCTCTCTCCTGTCTGAGTGAGGGAAGAGGGGCGGTTTGGCCTGTTTTGGTTCAAAACATGGCTTCCTTCTGCTTTTGAGGAAAGACAGCAGCCACCCTTCATAGCAGCTCAGGTGGTCTGGAGCACACAGCTGTGTGTTGACACAAGGCTGCCCGTCAAATGTTTTGTCCATCAATCCACAGAAAGATACGTCCTGATGAGTACGGCTCTGTGGTGGAAAGATAAATATACCCTAACTGGTAAAACATTGTTACTCACCCCTAGAATAATGGGCTTTGACGAAAGCATCCAGCATGTTTTAGTTGTTTCTCTGCTCCAACACACCTCTGCAGAAGCCTGTTAATCACCTGCTGCCGAAAACCAGGAATGCCGAAGCAGGGAGACATCTAAAACGCGCTGGACGCCAGCCCTCGGAAAGGGAATCTATCCCTGGTCTACAGTCACTTGAATTCAGCTCCTCATGAACGACGAACCAGGCTGAATGAGACTGCAGACATTTGATTGGACATTATTTATTGAAACTTTAAATCAGATTAGCTGGAACTGACTTAGCGGTGGAGCTGGTTGGGATTCCTTCTGTTGGGATTTGCAGTAAACAGCTCCGGGCTGAAATCCACAAAGCAGAACCAGCCTCAACATGAGCTGCGTGCTTTGTTTTCTTTTCAACTAGCTTTGCTTCTGCTGCCTCAAAAAAAAAAAAAAAAAAAAAAAAAAGGCTGATGAAAGTTTACATTTTCACCAAAAACTTGTAAAAGTGTTTCATCCTCCTACTGATGCTGAAATGTCATCCAGAGAAGGAAACCAATGCACCGTTTAACCCTCTCAGGCTCAAAATAAGTTTTGATAAAAGGAGGAACAACTAAGTCCTTCAGGGGTACGCCCGAGTTAAAAATGCTCATGAAATACGTATGTGGAGTAACCAGGTGGGCAGGTTTTACCGTTGCTAATCGTCAACGCCTGCCTCCAGAGGGTTAAGCAGTAAACAACCTTAGATATCATTTATGTTTTTTCTTTCAAAATGTTTACTTCCTGTTTGGTTTCTTCCAGGTTCCAGACGATCAGGATGAATGTAAGTCTGCAGCTGATTTGTTCCTGTGTGTGATTGTCTCTGGATGTTAGTTTGATTTGTTTTGCACACGTCTGCCACCTACTGACGAGCCTATAGACATATATGTATATCACCACCTGGTGGGATTTACCTGAACCTCACCTGACACACAGCTCAACACACTCTGTTCAGCTGATTATTCAGAGCAGTGTTTTTATTTGAAAATGATGGGAGACAAATTATTAAAGATAATAATTAGAATAAAAAATGTCCAGGCAATGATTTCTTCAGACAATACTTCCCAACACAAGCCATAGAGAGGTCATGCAGGAGCCAGAAGGTCTAAGCAGAGAGTCAATAGGAGTGACTGCCCAAAACAAGGCAGTCATGAAGTGTTGTTGGGTCGGTCAGCTGCTGGAAAGGAGAATGTGTCTAACTTGAAAAAGTTTCTCCTCTCTTGTTCTGTCTCACTTAAGCTCTCAGATGCTCTCGATTGGCCATCTGATGGCAACAACCAATCAGGAGGTCTATGGCCTTCCAATAACAGCAATCCTACATGGCCAGGTACAACCATTATTGTTACTCTTCCAGATTCCAGTGCTGACCTGTTGTTCTGTTTGGGAGAGAGAAGTTGGTTTCAGACTTCAGTACATGAATTTAATGGCAGCAAAAGTGTTTACAAAGCTGATATCAGCAGCTATAAAGTTTTAAGTTGGCAGTGATTCACTTTATGACATTACTCATACCAGCTGTAAGATCAGCTAGCTTTTCAGTGTGTGTGTGTGTGTGTGTGTGTGTGTGTGTGTGTTTATAATTGTGGGGTTGGTAGCAGTCCTGATCTGTTTGATTAGTGATTGAAGCTCTTCTTTCATCTGGTGAAGAATATCCCAAGACATTTACTGGTCCTTTTACTTTGGTTGGAAGAAGAACCGGTTCCATGCAAAGAGAGTTAGGTTTAGAACACCTGGGATGAAATCACTGGCTTCAACAATCTGCAGGAAGAACATGTTGCTTCCTCCTCTTATTTACATTTCAATTTAGTGTCAATCAGAAATTAATGCAAATTTAAGATTACCCTTTTTTAGGACACAAACACAAAGAGGCACTTCAAAATCCCGAATTTTTTGTTCTGTTATACACTGTTATAGACTGTTACAGATGGCATAGACTATTTTAGACTGTTAGAGACCATTAGAGACTCTTACAAACAGTTATTGGCTGTTATAGACTATTTAGATTGTTATAAACTGTTATAGACTATTTTAGACTGTTTTAGGTTGTTATAGATTGTTATAAACTGTTATAGACTATTTTAGACTGTTTTAGGTTGTTATAGATTGTTATAAACTGTTATAGACTGTTACAGACTGTTTTAAACTGTTATAAACTTTTTAGACTGTTTTAGACTGTTATAAACTATTTAGACTGTTATAAACTGTTATAAACCATTTTTGATTGTTATAGACTGTTGTTGATTTTTATAGACTGTTATAAACTGTTTTAGACTGTAATAAGCAGTCATAGACAGTTTTAGACTGTTATAGAGTGTTATAGATTATAATAGACTGTTATAGACTTCTGTAGTGAGTAAACATACTGCAACAGCAGCTAGAATATGGAAGGTAGCCAAAGGTCCAGGGAAACTGTGGTCTCTGAGACCAGACCTCTGATTTGTGAGACTTCTTTGTGAGTGGTAGCTCCTATCCCTCACCTGGCTGTCTAAAATATAATAAAATGATATCCTTTTTATTTTAATGCTCTTTGTAATTGAATGTTCTTCGATGAATAATTCCACATCGGCAAAATAAATATTTGACAAATGTAAAAGGCTGGTGGTGTAGACACGTGCCGTCTTTGATGCTTACTAAAATGTAACCTCGACGTTAAGAAAGAATTCCCCGTGGTTATGTACTTCTGGTTTTGGGCAAAAACATCTATTGCTGCAACTGAAGCATCCTGCAGTCCCTCCTTCTCTGTAGTAGTAGTTCAGATCCAAATGAGTGATTCTATAAACAAACAGACTCAGGGAGGAAAAACAGCTCTTCAGATGAATTCAGTGTTTTTATGCAATTATAACTCAGGTCAACCGGCAACCAATCCCACCTGGCCCGGGGGTCAACCGGCAGCCAATCCCACCTGGCCCGGAGGTCAACCGGCAGCCAATCCCACCTGGCCCGGAGGTCAACCGGCAGCCAATCCCACCTGGCCTGGAGGTCAACCGGCAACCAATCCCACCTGGCCTGGAGGTAACCCCAGTCAACCAGCTGCCCCCCAAAATAGTCTGGTGAGAAAAATGGAAGAAAAAATAGTTAAGACTGAAAGAAGTAACAACATGGTAAACAACTGATTCCTTTATGTTTTGACAGGTTGTCCCATACAAGCAGACGCTGCCACAAGGAATTTATGACAAACTCCTCATAACCATCGCCGGGACTATCAAACCCAATGCTAAAATGTCAGTACCCACACTTTTGACATAACATGAGGTAAAAAAAAGTCAAAAAGAACCTGGGAACTGCAAAAAACTAAAGCATGAATATAAAATTTAATGCAGTCCGACTGTGCAAAAACCTAATTTGGACGTCCTACAGATGTTGTCTGGACTCAGACTCAATATAGACATGATCTGCATATCCAAGTTACGTTTAATGTTTGCAGGGATAGGACGTGGGAGGAATTGGGTGGGTTGGATGACATTTATTGACAAATATAAAGTAAAATCAGTCTAAAAAACACAATCTCAGCTTCTCTGAGAATAATGCAAATGTTTTTCAGTTCATCAAACAGCCATGATATGTCACCAAATTGTAAAATGTGTACTTCTAAGTGGTTTTACACACACACCGATATATATATATATATATATATATATATATATATATATATATATATATATATATATATATATACACATACATATGTGTGTGTGTGTGTGTATATATATATATATACATACATATGACATACATATGTGTGTGTGTGTGTGTGTATATATATATATGTATATATATATGTGCATATATATGTATATGTATATATATATATATATATATATACATATATATATATATATATATATATATATATATATATATATATATATATGTATATATATATATGTGCATATATATGTATATGTATATATATATATGTATATATATATATGTATATATATATATTTATTCACATATATTTTCGTAACCCTCTGGAGGCAGGCGCTGCAGATGTGCAACGGTAAAACCTACCTTCCTGATTACGCCACAGACGTATTTCTTGGGCATTTTTAACTCAGAAGTATGCCTGAAGGACTTAGTTGTTCATCCTTTTATCAGAACTTATTTTGAGCCTGAGGAGGTTAATGCTGACTGTGAACTTTGTTCTTTACCAGGATCACACTGGACTTTCTTGCAGGCAACGATTTGGCTTTTCATTTCAACCCTCGATTCAACGAGGACGGCAAGAAGGTGATTGTGAGGAACAGCTGCGTCAGTACTAAATGGGGCAAAGAAGAGAGGGAGCTGCAGCAGTTTCCCTTTGTCCAGGGTCAGCCGTTTGAGGTTAGACACATGCAAACATAATTCATATTTATGTAAAACCTGTATACATGTTACTGCCAGTACTCAAAGGTGTTTGAAGGTGCATTGTGGAAGGCCAGTTTGGCCAAGTTGGTATAAATTGTTTTGTTTGCTCTTGCAGATGAAGATTCTGTGCACCAACAACGAGTTTAAGGTGGCGATTAACAACTCACACCTGCTTGAGTTCAAACACCGGTTCACCAACCTCAGAGCCATCAATGTACTCCACATTTACAACGATCTCACCCTTTCCAATGTTCAAATGCAAACCCTGTCTTGAGACGGGTTTCTGATCAATTGACAACGATTTACTGGACAAGATCTGCACATTCATTAAAATGCCATTTACCACTTTAGTTAAACATGAGATCCACCAAAGAACAACTTCAGGTTTTCTAGATGTCAGAGGGAATATCAAACATTTGCTGGACATCCTTTAGAGCTCTAGAATCTGCCAGTCATCAAATTGTAAACCATCAATCATTTATAGAATACCTACAGATTAATCAGACCACAGACGCAACAAAAACCCATCTGAAAGCCAATGGATCCAAAAGAATTACTCTGATTCTCAAAAGTAGTACATCCACCGCTTTTCTGGAAATTCATTCACCCATTCACACATACATTCACACACTGAATATATGGTGAGAGAGATCTACTGAGAATCTTCTTGAGACCCACTGGAGATCTATAGTGGATTGATAAGAGCTAAGCCATAGATAAGGTTTTATGAGAGATCCTCTGTACACAGACATGGATAGAGGTTGTCATTAGTGGATTTACAGCCGATCCTCAGTTAATTCACAAGAAACCCCATCATGAGTCCAGCTGTGCTATTTCTGATGTCTCATCGCTGCTTTGGAATTTGTCAAAATAAACAAAAACAGTTGTTTTCATCATGCATCAAGAGTTTTCAGTTTATTTCTTCAAATTTTGAAATACCCATATTTTTAGGAACATTTTATGCAGATGATGAAGGGGCAAGTTTAAACTCCTATTGTTAGATGGTCGTTTTAGATTCTCAGAAGACAGTTTAGGAAGACTGACAAATTTTATTAAACAAGCACTGCTTTTGAATTCAAATGTACTTACCATAGGCGTAGATGAACCCCCAAAATGAATGTAAACATTTAATAACGATAAAGTATCGTCTAATGAAAGCAGACCACAACAAATAAAAATTAGATCCACAAAACAATGTGTTTTCAATCACTGAAATATTAGGATCCCTTGTTCCTCACATTGGTATGGTCCATACAAGCTGCTTCGAACAGGTGGGACTGCCGGCGCTCCGACGCTCCCAGAGCTGCGATCAGCCTCGTCTCACAGGAGGGGATAATCACGACTTTAGCAGTGTGCTAAAGCCAGAATGATGAATCTTCAATCCAGAGTTTTTCACAAGACTGCACCATCTAGTGGCCGATTAATGTATTGCATCTACAGCAGTCGGGAGTCTAAGTCATGCCCATCTACTACCAGACCACGGGTCCCCAGAAGAACAAAAAAATGAATGCAAGTCAACGGGGCTAAAAACGCTATTTTGTAATTCAGGTTTTAACATTTTTTCCCGTGTTATTTGTTTGTTTATATATTTTTAAAGACATGGGCTACGTTCACACAGCAGGCAAATCAGATTTTTCTCCCACATGCAACCCATATCTGATTTTTTTATGACAGTCTGAACAGCACGGATTTGATTTCTTTCAAATCCGATCCATGTCACTTTTATTTGTGGTACCAATTCCAATACATATCTGATGTTTTCGAAAGCGACTGCAGTCAGAACGGTCATATCGCATTAAATCAGTCTCCTACATCACGGAGTCAGCGGAGGAGAAGAAGAAGAAGAAGAAAAGATCATTTCTACAGCGCCTCTCAAGATAAAAAATCACGAGGCGCTTCACAAAAACAAAAAATGTAAAAACATCAAAAAGAATTTAGAAAATGATTAAAATATATTTAAAATGGGCAAAAAATAGACAAGTGTGATTAAAAAATGTAAAGAGGAGAGAGAGTGAATAGGAAAGAGGGAAATCAGTGGATCCCGAGGAAGGTGGAATAGGTGGGGAGAGCAGAATAAAGAGAGAGTGGTGATGAAGGTCATACAAAAGCCAGCCTGAACAAGTGAGTCTTCAGCTGCTTTCTAAAGGAGACCACTGAGTCCACTGATCTCAGGCTCAGGGGGAGAGAGTTCCAGAGTCTGGCGGCCACAGCAGCAGATGATCTGTCACCTTTGGTTTGAGCTGACAGAAGGATTCAGGAGTCTGTCTGGACATCCTGACAAGTTTAGGAATTAAAAATACAGAAGAGCATGAGAATGGGAGCAGCAGGTGCTGCTGGAGTGAAGCGTCTCACCTGTCTTGGTCTCCATGAATGAAAAAAGGGGTATGTGTCTCCATGAGAGCGGGGGACCCTCCGTAAATAAACATAATACCAAAACATTTCCGGTGAATAATAATTTGGGAAGACGGCGGAAATAAGGAGTAAAATAGTTTACCGTTTTTAAAACAATTTCCAGCCCACAACGTGAGACTTGACAAGTGTGATGCTGTGGATGAATTGTCAGTGGAGCTCTTCACATCATAAATCCGCCTCTCCTGGTTCCGACTGACTGGTACTTCTTGTCTTCTATACATGTGGGCTGCTTTGGGACCATGAAACTTTCACATTCAAGATAGTTTGATGTCCCATTTCAGGCATAATGTGAACAGCCACACAATAAACATCTGATTTACTACAACAAAACTGGAATTGAGCATCAAAACCTGCAGTGTGAACATAGCCTTATATGTCCACAAGAAAGTTTACAATATCTGCATCTGTCTAGGCACATCCTCAAACACCTAAACGCTCTGTGGCTGACAAGAGGATGCTGAACATGGTCAGATCCACTTGCATGAGGCTTCATGGGATGGAGGGCAGGCTTAGGAAGAAAAGAAAGATTGGCTCCAATATGTGACAGTACAGTGTAAGAATTTCACTTTATGCATTTCTGGAAGATCATACATATTTAATGAAAGGGGGAAAACCATCGACACAATATACGTGGAAATCTTCTTTCCATAGTCTCCAATATCATGTTTTGAGGCCAAATGGGAGGTGGCCACCACCGCCATTTTGACCGTGTCACAGGTTCCGTCAAGCTCAGACAATTCCACAAAATGGAAGAGAGGAGGAGCTGAGGGTGGGGCTGTAAGGCTGGGATCAACTGACGACACTCGGTCGAACTAGCTACAAGCTAACCTGAAGCTAACCCAAAGCTAACTCGGAGGTGGCAGCTAAGCTAACGGAGGTAGCAACCTAGCTACAACCGGAGTTAACTGTGCACAACACCAGAGCTTCTGAGTCAGAGATACGCCGGGCTGACCGCTGGGTAAAACCGGGTGGAACACTGAGGTCTCCTGAGAGCTCCACAAGCTGGCAGCCGCACAGCAGACAAGCGCCGCTGCGATCTGAGATGCGCAGAGCTGCCGCTGGGGAGAACCGGGTGGAAAGGTTTCCATCCCAGAGCTCCACAAGCCGGCAGCCCGCGCAGCACACAGAAGCCACGATCAGACAGAGATGGACCGGGCTGCGGGGAGAAACAGCCGGCATTCCGGGTGGAAAACATCGGTCTCCCGAGAGCTCCACAAGCCGATAGTCGGAACCCAGCTCCACCAACATGTTATATTTCAACCCATTTTCTAAAGTGCAGCATTATGTTAAATGCACTGGGTTTTACCCTATTACATTTAAATTTCATGGTTAAACAGTAGGGGTTGTACAAACTAGTCGACTAGTCGACTAGTCGACTTCACGGCTCTGTAGTGACTTTTTATGCCTGTCACCAACTAGTCGCTGTCACGTGATAATGACTGACAAGATGCAGTCCTCGGAAAAGACAGCAGGTGATGAGCCCCTGCGCGTCTGGATCGAGGCGGAGGCGACGCTGTGCGGTACTGACACCGGCGGTAAAACGGACATTTAACCAAACTGTGACCTTTTCCCTCTTGCAATTTAACCTTCCCCTAACCCCTATCCTAATCTTAACCAGTTTGCGCATGCAAAGCTCTGATCGTTGACGCGCTCCAGACATCTGCGTCCTGAGCAGCGCCAAATCAGGTGTCACCACCTCAAAAACAAATTAAACACGCGATCATTCATGTCGGCTCATTTCCTTTCATGTTTTCTGTCTGTTATTTGTGCCTGATGCATTTCGCTGCTGCGGAGCGAGGCGCATCAGCTGTTGTCCTCCGGTGACACACCCCCAAGATTCCACTATCTCCACTCCGCTCCGCTCCGGCATGAACTCCGCAGCAAAAACGGTCCCGTTGTAGTCGGCCGGCGAGCAGCGGCACTCCGCTGTTTTTGCAGTCGGTAGATCTTTTAGAACTGCAGTTCAAAGGTAACTCATGAGGTGAATATATATGAACCCAGGTAGCAGTTTTTCTTTAGGATTGAGAGGAGATGCAGGAAGATAACAGGCAGGACAGAAAAATAGTAAAATAAAAACAAGTTAGTTTTTGTACCTGCTGGTTGCAACAAACAGACACCATTGAAGGTCATCAGAAGTGAGGAACAGAAAATGAAATAATTATTTTAATGTTTAGAGCAGCAGGAACTCCGAGAGGCTGCAGGCGTATCAGTGAGTTTGCGGCTGCTGCGCAGGGGGAGGGGGGAGAGGGCTGAAGCAGGAACTACCGTTGTTAAAAGAAATGTGTTTAACTTTGAAAATGTGGGCGCAATTTTAATTGTCAAAAACTCCAGCGAACCTACCGACCGACCCCCCCCCCCCCCCCCCCCCCCCGGCCGCTTCCGGCGTACGACGTCATCAACGACTAGTCGAAGTCGACTCGACTTTCATTACTTGACTGTCGACTTAAAAAAAAAATAAAGTCGTGCAGGCCCTATTAAACAGTACATGTTAAAATCTAAGCTCAGCTCAGCAGTGACCTAAAATACATAAATATAATTTTACTTACCGAAAAAAATGAATTTGAGACTCCTTGGACGCTCTATTAGTGCAATTAATGCCACAGCAAGTCATTTTGTCCAACAATTGCACAAATAATATCCAAAAAAGAATACACAAACACAGAGACTCAAAATCCCAGAACAGTTTCCAGGCCAGGCCGAGGCTCTACTGAAGCCTTTCCACGGAGCTAGCTCTGTGGTCACGTGGGTCTGATGCTCATTAATTATACAGAATTTTAGGCTTTCAATACACTTAAACAGAAGAGTGAGAAAAAAATTCACCCCCCTCAGAGTTGTCATGAGTGTAAACTAGATCAATTAAACCAAAAACATGTTCTGGTACCAGGCTGTAAACATGTTTATTTCTGCTGTGAAATTGGTATTTTTAACATGGGAGTCAATGAGGATTTGCTCGATTCTGACACCATACCCCAGTGGATGAGGGTGGAACTGCAATTTTTCTTACTTCCGGGTTGGACTCAATTTTAAAGCCGCATTGTGGGGGCTTGGGGAAAACTCCAAATTGTGGCTTTTTTTCATCACATCACCAATTGTTCTAGTAGTACTGGAAAAATATGTTTCTGTTTCTCAGTGAACTTACTCTTAAACATGCAGCATCAGTGACAAAGGGCAGCCTTGGCAGAGTCCAACTCTCACCAGGAACAAGGTCGACGTACTGCCGGCAATGCGGACCATGCTCTGACACCGGTCATACAGGGACCTAACAGCCCGCATCAAGAGGCCTGGTACCCCATACCATCAGAGTACCCCAGAGGGTCCCCTGAGGAACACAGTCGAATACCTTCTAAGAATCCACAAAACACATATAGATGGGCTTATCAAACTCCCACGCACCCTCCAGAAGACCCATAAGGGTATAGAGCTGTTCCAGTGTTCCACACCTAGGACGAAAACCACACTGCTCCTCCTGAATCCAAGGTTCGACAATC